AAAATTGGGAATAAATTGTACTTTTGTTCTTGGTTTGCAGTTTACAGTTTTACAATGTAAGAACACTTGCATTTACACATGTAATTTCTTTTCGCGTCTGCTAAAAAAAAAAAAAAAAATTCAAGGTGTTATTTACTTTTGTACAATGGTTATAAACTGTTTGTTTATTTGTTCTTGGTATATTTGAAATGAGGACATTTCTTTTGTTAAGGGGAGAAAAATGTGAGATTTATTTTGATTATCTTATATTATGTGTAAATTAAAATTAAGTGGGATAATCTAGTTTGTTTATGTATGTGACATGATCTCCAGGTTGGCGCGATGACACGTGCAGTGGATGTAATGTGAGACGGTTAGGAGTTGGTCGGGGAAGGATATACATGTGATGCGAGCTGTGCGTTGAATTCATTCCTGAGCTCTGACCAATAAACGACAGTAAAGATCCAGTTAATGTGTATGCCTGCATTATTTCGATGGACCCATTTTCAAGAGACTGGAGTTTCCTCCTATGGTCTACAGCCCCTCTTACATGAGCGTCACAGTTCTTACCACGCTCTGGCTCGTGGGTTCTTGGCTTTGATCCAAGGAGGACACCGACAGGGAGCTCGGCAGATCATAACACTTGATTTATTAACCATTAAGAGGTAAACATCATGAATCAGCCACATCCGATTACACAGAGCATGTCATCTCTCCCTCTCTCCCTCTACAACTCTCTCGATCATTCTCTCCCGTGATCCTAATCGCGGGTCTCTGTTCTCGCGATATTACCTCTAGACCTCTAGATAAGTTATAGAACATTAATGTTAACCTTGAATTTAACTCCCTACACATACAATAAGTCCAGTCTGACACACTGGATATCAAACCCTTTTGATTTCTCAGAAACACTACGTTTAGATGAAACCCATTATCTATTCTTTAAACTAACTTTGCTTTCATTTTCACTTTTTGGTTTTCCCATAAACTGTTGAGTTCAAGGAAAGGTTTGTTGTGATAATAGAGCGCTTCATTTCATCCAAGATCATTTACTTAAGTAGGCCTACACCATGATGTGCAAAAAAAACCTTTTAGCTTTAGGGTGACAGCTTTGTACCTTTTTTCTGAGAGTGTATAGGGAATAATATTCAGAGTAATTTACACTTGGCTTGATACCTTTAGGTCAAACTGTGTCAGAGTTGATTGGATTTAAATAGGTTCAATATTCTATATATATATATAAAGTACCAAAGGAATAATTTAAAAAAAAAGCCTTGTGCTATATGGAGGATAATATTCAGTGTAATGTGCACTTGATTTGATATCTTTAGGCCAAAAGGGTTGGAATTTAATGGATTTACAGTATTA